GAGGGAGAAGAAGAGAAAGGTGTCGAGCCCACGTCAGATCCTGGGGACGGGCGAAAGGAGGGGCCTGGGATTTATTTGCGGAGGGAGGGAGGAGGAGGAAGTGCAGATGGAGGAAGGAGGGATTGTAAGAGCCAGGACTGTAATCCTCACTCCCGCGGCCCCTAGGGGAGGCAAAGGAAACTCTCTGGTCCCAGCAATAATTAGCCCCCCTCTTCTCGCCATTCCAGCACATCTGGAATCTGAATCATCTCTTCCCAGGGAGCTGAGGGACGGCACAGCTTGGTCCATTTCTACTCGGCCCCTCAGTGTGTCCCCTGTCCATATCCGAACCTCCCCCACCCCCCATGAGACATCCCTTTGCCTCTTACAGAAGCTCAGATGGAATGGGCTTTCCCTTCCCCCAGGAGAACGGCGCGTTTCCACGTTTGTGAGATTTCTAGGGGGTAACGGGCCGGGGCCCGGGGAAGAGAGGCCTTTACTGTTGCCAACAACGTGCTCCAGACCAGCTGCCGGGCGGCTAGATCTCCGCCCGGCTCTCCGAGTCTCCCACACAACGCCTCTGGAGCGCCCTTTCAGCACCACCAGCGCGCGGACAGCTCTCCTAGGCCCCGCCTCCCGCCTCCCGCCCCCCCCCCGCCGGGCGATTGGCTGCAGCCGCTTTCACTTCATTAACCAGCTCCCGCCAGCGGCTGGCTCTAGTGAAGGCCAAGGGAAAGGACAGTCACTGACAGGCCGACCGATCAAGAGACTGGCAGACCTATCGACAGGCAGCGGCGTCCCTGCCCGCAGTCCCCGAGTGCCAGCCCAGTCCGTCAGTCCTAGCGCTGCTCCGCCCCTTAGTTTGCTCCGCCCCTGGCCCCGCCCCTCTTTTCGCATTGCAGCGCGGCTGGGGTTGGCACCGTGCCCCTACGTCCCACGTGGCGCCTTGCAGGTGCTGAGGCGGGGGCGGGGAAGCAAAGCAAGTGACACCCCCCCACACACACACACGCACACCCCGCAAGGCTGAGTTGCGGAGGCCACAGGGAGGGGATGGGAATAGCTAAACTGAGAGGGCTGCGGGATCGAGTGACGTCAGGGTGAGTGGGAGCCAAGGAAGGAGCGAGTAGGAGCGGGAACGAGAAAGAGGCAGGACTGGCGGGTTGGGTCGAGTGAGAAGAGAGGGCAAGGAGATAGGGAGGGAGAGAGAAGCCGCCACAGAGGAAGACTGGCTGCGGGTTCCCGGGGATGCGGGTCCAGGTAGGGTAGGAATCGCTGTCCGGGAAAGCTAGAAGGAAGGGGGCGGGCAGAGAAAGAAAGGAGGAGGGTGGAGGGAGAACAGGGAGAAAGGGAGGAGCGGAGGAGACAGTGGAGAGAGGAGAGGCAGAGAGAGAGAGGAGACTCCTGAAGGAGAAAGGAGAGGGGACAGAGGGGGAGAGGAGAGAGACTGAAGAAGGGAGAGCTGAACAGACAGCGAGGCAGAAGCAGAGGGAGCTAGAGGGAAAGAAAGGGAAGTAGGGCTAAAGGTGAATGAAGGAAGAGAGAGCTACAGAGTGGAGAGTAGCCTTCAGGAGAGAGAACCAAGAATGGGAATGTGGAAGGGAAACAGCCCAGGCGAAAGCCAGGGAGCAGCCATGGAGGGGACAGGCGGGGAGCTAGGGGGACAGGGGAACTGGGGCCTAGAAGATGCCCCAGGCCTCTTGGCCAGGGCTTCCCTGCCCATGGTGCCCCCATGGCCACTGCCCCTGGCCTCTTCTGCCCTTACCTTGTTTCTGGGAGCCCTCACTTCCCTTTTCCTCTGGTACTGCTACCGCTTGGGCTCCCAAGACATGCAAGCCCTGGGGGATGGAGGCCGGGTGGGGGGTGTTAGTGGTGGGCCTGGGAGATGCTCTGAGGCTGGCCGGCCCAGCCCACGGAGTTCTGGGGAGCTTGGGGATGGACCTAGGATGGAAGGCCTAGTGAGCCGTAGACTTCGGGCCTATGCCAGGCGCTACTCTTGGGCCGGGATGGGTAGGGTGAGGCGGGCAGCTCAGGGTGGCCCAGGCCCCGAGGGAGGGCCAGAGGTCCTGGGCATTCAGCGCCCAGGCCTGCTTTTCCTACCAGATCTGCCTTCAGCCCCCTTTGTGCCACGGGATGCCCAGCGGCATGATGTGGAGCTTCTAGAAAGCAGCTTCCCTGCCATTTTGCGGGACTTTGGGGCTGTGAGCTGGGACTTCTCAGGGACTACCCCTCTGCCGCGGGGCTGGTCCCCGCCACTGGCCCCTGGGTGCTACCAGCTCCTGCTGTATCAAGCAGGCCGGTGCCAACCCAGCAACTGCCGCCGGTGCCCAGGAGCCTATAGGGCCCTGAGGGGGCTTCGGAGCTTTATGAGTGCCAACACCTTTGGCAATGCTGGCTTTTCCGTCCTCCTGCCTGGGGCCCGACTCGAGAACCGCTGTGGGCCCACCAATGCCCGAGTCAGATGCCATCTGGGTAAGTAAGATTCTGCCTGCAAACCACCTCCTCCCCCTCTGGACCTTCTTCTTTGACACTAGAGCTTCCTAGTCTATGGTTCTCATCCTGCCTTTCTTAGAACTCCTCCATGAGTCCTCCCCCACGGCAGCATTTCCTGAGCTTATTATCTGCAGACCATCTCCATAAGCTTTGCCATAGTCACCACCTGCACTGTCTCCCCACACCTTGTTTTACTTATTTTTATTTTTTAAAAACAATTCTTTATTTAGTTCCACTTGTTGTTATTATTTTTTAATTTGACCAGACAGACAGAGAGAGAGAGGAAGGGAAAGTGAGAAAGCAAGCCACCATGTCCAGGACTTGAACTGCAGTTGGCCATATAGGAATCCAACACCCCCAACCACCATGTCACCTGCTGGCCCCCTCATTTTTTGTTGTTTTAAATTTCTTCTTTCTTTTTTCTTTTTTTTGGAGAGGTTTTTGCTATAGGGCACATGCGCTATACGGAAATGCCATGTTCTCCAGAAAACCTCCTTTCTCTGTAACACTAGATCATACTTCCTAAAGCAGCAATTCCCCAATCTCTTCCCAATTCCACGATCATACAGTAATCATAGTATTGTGATTATTTCTACTCATCACCTTCCAGAGAGTAAGGAGAGACTGACCACACAGAATCTGTTAGATCCGCCAACACACAGGGCGGGCACTGTAGGGGACCAGGAAATGATGTAGTGGTTACGTCACTGGACTTCCAAGTAGTCCACTGTAGTTCAAGTCCCGGACCTGGAATGCTGGATGCCTAGGTCTCTTTCCACAGGCCTGAAGATCCCTCCTGGCTGTGAGCTGGTCGTTGGGGGTGAGCCCCAGTGCTGGGCTGAGGGCCACTGTCTACTGGTAGACGACTCCTTCCTGCACACCGTGGGTCCAGTGACATAGCCATTACACCAACTGCTGGTGCCCTCGGCCCCCTCCTTTTACTTATTTAAAAGGAATCTTCATATAGCTCTAAGTGACCATCAATATTATGCCCAAAGTAGAAAGTACTCATAAAAATGAACCAACATGTAAAAGAAAAAGCAAACTTTGGGGCCAGCAGGTAGCATGGTGGTTACAGTGCTGAACTCCCATGTGGCTGGACTATTAGAGTCCTGGACCTGGCGGCTTGAAAATCATGCCAGGCATGGGATCAGCAATTAGCGTAATGGCTATGTCGCTGGACTCCCATGTAGTCGACCATGATTCGAGTCCTGGACCTGGTGGCTTAAACTCACGCCAGGCGCGTATGCGTGCGTGCCCACCATCCCAAGAGGAGAAAGGAGGAGAATGGATTGCGGCATGGCCATCCCCCCGGGGGGTGATTTCTCACTGTCTCTCAGTCTCTCTCTGTCTTTTTGGTGAGCGCCTGCGCCCTATAGCAAAAACCTCTCCAAAAAAAAGAAAAAAATCATGCCAGGTTTGTGTGTGTGCATGCCCAAAATCCAGTGGAGGAGAAGGGATTGCAGTGTGACTATCCCCCCCAGGGGTGATTTCTCACTTTTCCTCTCAGTTTCTCTTTGGCAAGTGCACGTAACCTATGGCAAAATCCTAAAGAAGAAAAAAAGAAAAGCTAGGTTTTAAACATCCTAGTTAAATACTGTTGTCTGTACAATCCTGAAACATTCACTTTCTCCATTTAAAAGAGAATTATGGGGGCCAGGAGGTGGGTTGGTGGTTAAGGGCACTGGATTCCCACTTGGCTGACTGCAGTTCAAATCCTGGATATGGTGGCTTGCTTTCCCCCTTTTCCTTTAAATAAAATTAAATAATTCTTTTTTTTTAAGGGAATTTTGTTAGGGGCCAGCAGATGGTATATCAGGTACATTGCTGGATTCCCAAATGGCCAAGCATGATTTTAGTACTCAACTTGATGGCTTGAAACTCATGCCAGGTGCTTGTGCGTGCATGCCCAAAATCCCCAGAGGAGCATGGAGGAGAAGGGATTGGGGCGTGGCCATCCCCCTGGGGGGTGATTTCTCACTTTCTATCTCTCTGGCAAGCACATGCACTCTATAGCAAAAATCTCTCCAAAAAAGGGAGTTTTGTTAGTCAATGTTCAAGTTACAGCAGCACCAAACTGAGGATTTTGTTGTTGGTGGTATATTTTAAAGATTGAGAGAAAATTAAAAAGCAAACCATTTTGATTGTTATTCTATGCTATGACCTTACTTCGCCCAGAATGATTTTCTGTGCTTCCAGTTGGCTATGCCGTCAATTTCAGGGCACAAGTCCAGATCCATCCTCCACAGGATGGAGGCCTTCTGGCTGATCCTGACAGATGCCACGCATGTGTCCTCTCAACCTTGAATGTCTTTCTAACTTCCCACCTCCCAAAAAACTCCTATTTAGCCTTTGGAACCCAAGTTTTCAAGTGCCACACCTCCTCTGGGATGCCTTCCTATTCCCCATGATTTGACTTGGCTGCAGTTTTTCTCATGGCATTTGACTGTACGGTCCTTGAGTCAGGGTGGAGTGTCAGTTTTATATATCATGGAGAGATAGCACCTAGTGCATAGTAAGCTCTTGAGTTGGCCTGTCAGGAAGCCCAGGAGGAAATGCCATGTTCTCCAGAAAACCTCCTTTCTCTGTAACACTAGATCATACTTCCCAAAGCAGCAATTCCCCAATCTCTTCCCACTTCCACGATCATACAATAATCATAGTATTGTGATTATTTCTACTCATCACCTTCCAGAGAGTAAGGAGAGACTGACCACACAGAATCTGTTAGATCCGCCAACACACAGGGCGGGCACTGTAGGGGACCAGGAAATGATGTAGTGGTTACGTCACTGGACTTCCAAGTAGTCCACTGTAGTTCAAGTCCCGGACCTGGAATGCTGGATGCCTAGGTCTCTTTCCACAGGCCTGAAGATCCCTCCTGGCTGTGAGCTGGTCGTTGGGGGTGAGCCCCAGTGCTGGGCTGAGGGCCACTGTCTACTGGTAGACGACTCCTTCCTGCACACCGTGGCTCATAATGGTAATGGGCTCTGTTCTTGGGGGGGCTCAGGGGAGGGCGAGGGATTGGGAGTGAAGGAGAGCAGAGTAGAAGGCTGAGAAATTAGGCCCAGCTGGCTTCCTGTCCTAGTGCCACCACTGTGCAGCTGTATGACCTTGAACAAGTCATATAACTTTCACCAATCACCTGTGGGCAACAGCCTTTTTTATCTTATCAAGTGACTGCAAAGACTAAGTATGTTCCTGCAGGTGCTTAGCAAAGTGGTTAACATCACAGGACTCTGATCCTGGACCACTGGGGTTCCTGTCCTACCTTTTGTGCTCATGAGTTGTGGGACCTTGGGGAAGTTACTTAGCCTCACTATGCCTCAGTTACTTTATGTAACACAAAGATAATAGTTGGTTTTGAGGATCAGGAGCTAACATACATAAAGGGTTAGGGGACCAGCAAATGACATAGTGGTTTTGTTGCTGGACTCCCAAGTAATCCACCGTGTTCAAGTCCCAGACCTGGAGGCTTGAAACTCCGGCCAAGTGCATGTGTGTGGGTGTCCAAAATCCCGAGAGGAGACTGGAGAAGGGATTACGATGTGGCCATCCCCTCCGGGGGTGGTGGTGGTGATTTCTTGCTTTCTGTCTCTGTCTCTCTGATGAGTGCACATGCCCTATAGCAAAAAGCCTCTTAAAAAAAAGAACAGAAACCAGCAGTTAACGTAATGGCTATGTTGCTGGACTCCCACATAGTCGACCGCAGTTCGCGTCCCAGACCCGGTAGCTTAAAACTCACGCCGGGCACGCATGCGTGTGTGCCCAAGATCCCAAGAGGAGAATGGAGAAGGGATTGCGGCCTGATGATCCCCCCGGGGGAGGATTTCTCGCTGTCTCTATGTCTCTCTCTGTCTGGCGAGTGCACGTACCCTATAGCAAAAACCTCTCAAAAAAAAAAAAAAAAAAAAGAAAGAACAGGGCCTGGCCCTTACTGTTTGCTTTGTTACCACTTGGTGAGTGCTTTGACAGAGAAGTCCTCAATGTCAACTGCTCTCCTGTTTCTATCCCCATGTGTCCTAGGCTCCCCTGAAGACGGGCCACGAGTGGTCTTCATCGTGGATCTCTGGCACCCCAATGTGGCTGGGGCTGAGCGCCAAGCCCTCGACTTTGTCTTCGCACCAGACCCTTGAAGGAAGGTGTTCCTTTCAGACACCTGGGCTGCAGAGGGCAACACGCGCTCAGGGCCGGCTTGATTGGTAGCCAGGACTTTCTCTGCACTTGCGGGAGCCGGAGGGGTTGAGGGTGGGACCTGGTCACTGAGCACTGAAATATACATGGCAAATCCAAACGTCTGACTCTTCTTTGCCAGCTATCAGCTCCAGGGAAAGGCTGGGGACAGGGGCTCAGGTCTTCTCCCTTATACCTAGCAAGTTCGGCCATAACACAAGCCCCCTCGCTCTTCCCCAGGAGCCAGCACCAGACCCTTGACTCAACTTTATTCCAATAATTTAATAGAAAATTAAAATAATAAATAATACGAAACAGACCGAGAAGACCACTGAGCTGGTACAGGCCAGGTCAGCCTAGTACAAAGTTAAGGAGGCAGGGAGCACAGTGGGGAAGGAGGGAGGCGAACTCCCCTGCACATGGCGGGAGGTGGCTCAGAATGTGATGGATGTTCACAGCTGGCTCAACACTTTGGCATGTACGATGTACTAAAAAAGAGAAAAGGGATTCTACATCGTTCTAAACCAGCTGGTGAGGGAAGGAGAGCAGGCCAAGGATGGGCCTGGGGACGAATGTTGACCTTCGGAAGAGGTCCAAGGACAGGGGCTGGAATGTACCGTGTTAGCAGTGAGCAGGGAATGAATGTGAGGACCAAAATGAACTGTATCATGCACTGGAGGGACAGAAGGAGGGCCCGCGACTTGGCCAGCAGAGCCGGGGCAAAGGCTAAGAAGGGGAAGAAAAGAGAGAAAGGAGGGCCCAGAGCCAGGAAGAAGGGAAGGGAAGAGTCAAGTCAGTCCTTGAAGACAATCTGTTGGCCGTGAGGACGCTCGTCATGGGTGATGTGGCGCCGGACATGGATCCTGCGAACACGGTGCTCTCGGTTCTCTTCATCCTCCCCTCGGCCTGCACCACCACCTCCAGCTGCACCACCTGTGGCCTCCAGGAGGGCTGGGTCTGGGCCCCGGGGAGTCTCGTAGATCAGGATGTTCAAGGTCTCCTCAAAGATCCGGGCCTCTGGGAATTCCACCTGCCAAAGACCAGCAACCTGTGGCTCCTACCCTCTGGTCCAGTCACACAGAGCCACCCCGTTCCCCCATGGCTCCTGCACTAGCACACCTCCTAGTCTTTGCAATCAGGTTCTTTGGCCTGGACTCCCTTCTCTGCAACTACTCTACTCAGCAGAGTCACACTTCAAGGCCCTGCTCTGAAGTCAGGCTGATAGAATGATTTGTTTTCTTTCCTTCATTGCCAAGTCTCGTCGTGGATACTTTAATTTGACAGACACTTAGTGAATGGTTGCACTGTATCAAGGTGTTGTTCCAGGCCTTGGGAACATAGCGGTAAATGAGAGACCAAGTTCCCGCCCTTGGGAAGTTTACATTCTAAGGGGAAGACTTAGACATGTCCATACTAGAATATAAACTGAGCCAGGGGCAGGATGATGGTCCCGTGCTAAACATAGCTGCTCACTTGGAGGCCTCCCTGAGTACAGAGGCAGGCATGTGCCCATGATCCAGGGCTGGCTCAGAGGAGGGGTGGATCACAGCATCAAGACCCTATTGGGGGTATTGTCTATGTCTCTCTTGTTCAGGTAAAAAATAAATTAGTAAACTTTAAAAAAGTACAAACTGGGAACCAGCAGTTAGCGTAATGGCTATGTCGCTGGACTCCCACGTAGTCGACCGTGGTTCGTGTCCCGGACCTGGTGGCTTAAAAAAGCTCACGCCGGGCGCGTGTGCATGCATGCCCAAGATCCCGAGAGGAGAATGGAGGAGAAGGGATTGCGGCGTGACCATCCCCCCTGGGGGGCGATTTCTCGCTTTCTGTCTCTATGTCTCTCTCTGTCTGTCTGGCGAGCGCACGCGCCCTACAGTGAAAATCTCTCCAAAAAAAAAAAAGTACAAACTTAAGTCAGATGATGATAAATGTTATAGAGAAAGAGCAGGAAAAGGGGTGAGGGTGGCGCGGGCCAGGAGAGCTGCAACTTAAAAGTGGGAGTTTAGGGAAGGCCTCACTAAGAAGGAGAGGAAAGCCATCAAGTGGGTATCTCGATCAAGTAATCTGGGAAGGGGCAACAGTGCAAAAACGCAGGGTCAGGAGTGCCCACACTGTATTATCTAAAGACCAGCAAGGAGGCCACTGCAATGGAGGCAGCATGATGAAGAGGCAGAGTAGAAGACTGGCCCAGTTGCTGCGGTGCAGTGGTAATGCGAGTGCCTTGTAAAGCTGGAGACCACACAGACAACTATGGGTTTGGATCCCCACACTGGCTTGAAAACACACAAGGCACATGCATGAATGCCCAGGACCCTGAGGAGCTAGAGGACTGGAAAAAAGAGACTGCAGAGTGACAAGACTCTGTCAAGGTTGTTTCATTCTCTCATAAAAAATTAATTTAAAAGAAAAAGGGTGGGTAAAGTTGAAGAACTGATGGGGCATTCCCCATGCGGCCTTGGAAAGATACAACCAAAGTAGCTTTCAACAAGCTGTACTCTAATTAATGGGCTCTTTTGTCTTCTCAAGTACAGAGGAAGCTTCTTGGAAGCTGGGTCACACATTCATTCATTCACAGATGCATTAATGTTTCCTAGCTTCCACGTGTGACAAGGGCCTGGGCTAGTGTTAGGGAGATAGAAAAGAGACTCAGCATTACCCTCGAGGAACTAACACCCCAATGCTGAAGCACCTCCTACCCCCAAACCACAGACTGCCTGCAGTGAAGGGAGCATGACCGACTTTAACTGGGGTTATTGGGTTGCAAGTTCACGAGCAGACGTGTCCCAAAGAAAGTGATGCTTGGCTTGGGTCTTAAAAATTAAGTACAAATTCACTAGGCGGGGGCTGGCAGGTGGCACGTTGGTTGGGACTCCCATGTGGCTCCTATACATAGTGAAAATCTCTCAAGTCCTGGACCTGGAGGCTTGCTTTCACTTTCCCTTTTTCTCTTTCTGGTCAAGTTAAATAATAATAACAACAAAAATCAATCAATCAATCTTTTTAAAAATTCATTAGGCAGATGGAATGATGAGAAAGGAGCCTAAGAAGTGCATGCGGAGCCAGAGGTATAAAACAGACTTGGGCACAAAGAGACAGGCAATGACTGTGTTGTACCTGAGACCCTCCCTCTTACCAAGCTCCGAAGGGACCACACTTTCCAGCCTGCTGAGTGCTTAGCGCAGAGCAGGTGCTTGGGAAATATCTGCTGAGGACGGCCATGTTAATGACTCAGGACCTACAAACCCAGAGTATGTTCTAAAAGACCACCTAGTCCTCAAGTTTTAAGAACCTATTTTTAGGGAACCAGCATTTAGCATAATGGCTATGTCGCTGGACTCCCACGTAGGCAACCGTGGTTCACGTCCCGGGCGCGGTGGCTTAAAACTCATGCTGGGCACGTGTGCGTGCATGCCCAAGATCCGGAGAGGAGAATGGAGAAGGGATTGCGGCGTGACCATCCCCCCGGGGGGTGATTTCTCACTTTCTGTCTTTATGTCTCTCTCTGTCTGTCTGGCGAGCGCATGTGCCCTATAGCAAAAACCTCTCCAAAAAAAAAAAAAAGAATCTATTTTTAGACCTTTCTGAGAGTCTAATGACAACTATGAACTCTATATAGAAAAAAACACTTATATATCTCTAAACCCACAAAAAGTTCATAGGTCTGCAGATAGCACTGAAGGCCATCTAATGGTCTAGGTTAAGAATCTTGGCGTGTGGTTAAGGCAGCTGGACTCGCACATGGCCAGTCATGGTTCAAGTCCTGGACCTGACAGCTTGCATTCTCACTTTCCCTCTCTGTCTGCTTCTCTGGTCAATTTCATAAATAAATAAATAAATAAATAAATAAAAATAATGATGATGAATAAAATTAAATAACTTATTTTTCTTTTAAAAGAACCCTGCTTGGGTCCTGCAGGTGGCGTGGTGGCTAAGGGTGCTGGATTCCCACATGGCCAACCGTGGTTCAAGTGCCGGATCTGGAGGCTTGCTTTCCCTCTCATTCTGTCCCTCTCTGGTCAAATTTAAATAAAGAAAGAAATAAAGTTAAATTAAAAAGAAAGGATCTTGCTCTAATCCAATGCCCTTGTTTCATAGGACCCAGAAAAGTAAATGGACTTGCCCCAGGTCACATAGCCAAGACCCCAGAACTCTGGCTCCTAACTCCCAGTGATGAACTCCTTCCCCCTGACCTGCTAAGCTTTGTCCAGGGTCCTGGTCCTGCACCCCACCACACCCCTCCCTGACCAGGCCCTGAACCCTTCTGACCTTGGTCTGCTTCTTCTCCGTAGCATAGACAATGGAGGTGCAGCACACCTCGGCGATTTTGCGGCCCTGCCCGTAGAAAGACCAGCAGCAGATCTCGTCCCCCAGGACATCCTTGAGGAAGAGCAGCCGCCCGTGGAAGCGCAGGGCCAGCTTGTCAAACAGCTCGATGTTCTTAAGTAGGTTGTCGTCTGAAGTGCTGAGGACCAGGGGGCCAGTAGGCCTCAGCACGACTGGCTTCCCTCCCTCCGCTCCCCCCAGGAGAGGGCCCCAGAATCCCAGCTCTTTGGTCCTGCCCAGGGGTTTGGTTCCCAAAAGAGAGTTTCCTTCACCCCTGGGGCCAGGCTAAGGCCTCAGAAGGGAAGCAGCTCTTGCTGGGCTAATCCCAGGATGACAGAGAGCTGCTCCCCAAGCAGCTCTGCAGCCAGGCTGCCTCGCCTGCATCTTCGCTCCACCACTTTTAACTGAATGATGCCAGGCAAGTCACTTCACCTCTTTGTGTCTCAACTTCTTCATCTGTAAAATGGAGACATTGCCTGCCTCAAACAACTGTGAGGCGCAAGTAAGTTATTATTTAGACAGCACTTGGGGCAATGCCTGCTATAAAATAAGCACTTAGTACACGCTAGCCATTACGAGGGGACTTCAGCTTGTGGAAAAGTGGAATTCAAGTATGAGTGTACTTTGGTGTAAAAATTTGTTTGAAATCTGTGTACAGTTTTTTCATCATATTCATTTTTCATGAACGTTTTGAAGACCCCCTTGTATCATTTAATCTTCATGCAAACCTCATTCTACTGATGACAAAACTTAAGTTCAGAAGTGGAAATAACCTGCCCAAAGTGCCCAGTGGGTAAGTGGCAGAGCTGGGACCTGCACTTA